TTGAGCATTTATACAATATTACGGTTCTTGACCTATGAGATACATATTACTGATTGCGAAATCACAATTTTTAGTATGACATTGTAATGTTAAAAGTGATTATTGCAAGATTGCAATTTGGACTCACTAGCTGTCTGAAATTGAGCTTCATGGTTTTGGCCACCTCTTCTTCCTCCTCATATTTCCTCCACTAGGCTGTTCTCTTGAAGTTTAGCTACTCATTTTTCTTTTGTGATTTCTGAGCAGAGTACCTGACTGTGTGCACACTTTAGCAATGAATAGGATTAATTCAACAGGAATAGTTTGCAGCAAAATGGGGGCCGTAAAATGGTAGTGAAGTTCTGAATTGTATAGAATTGTTTTTTTTTTTTGTGTTTCAGGGGTTGATCCCTGAACACCATAATATGTACCTCTTCTGGTATATGGCTGGGTATTTCACAAAAAATTACAAAAAAAAAAAAAAATAATTTAAGTCACTTTAACCTTATTAGAATGTCTTTGTCACGACTTATATATACACGATGAGCTACCAAATGACAATCAAACGACTGCATCAAATGACTGTATCACTCACTAGCGGATCCAGGATTCATTTTTGGGGGGGGGGGGCTTCAGCCCGAATGTTTTTTTTTTCATAAAAATAACGATAATTACTTTGGAAAAAGAGAAAGAAACTAACTACCTATATGAAATGGTGCTTAAGCGATTCCTAAAGCCCTTTTAAATGTAATTACACGACCAATAATACTTTAAGAGATCATTTTTTAATATTTTTTTCGATAAAACATGGTTATATTTTACCATTTTGGGGGTGGAGGGCTTCAGCCCGAAAGCCCCTCCCCCCCCCGTAGATCCGCCCGTGGTATCACTGTATCAAAAAACTGTATCAAATGATAATCAAACGACGTTACTTTCCAGGTCTCCCTAATATATGTGTAATATCGTTGGAAACATGATTTCTGATACGACTTTATATATTACAAAAAATAATATATAATACATGAATTCTTATAAATTAATGCATAATGATAAGAAACTGAATAAATAGTAAAAGATAATTTTGCAATGAACGCACTTACTCGAAAGTCATTTGCTTATTATTTCCCTCTTAATCCGGTCAGAAACTTGGAATGTTGTACAAAGAGATAACAAGCATTTGGATTGCTGCCAAATACTTTTCAATGTATTTATTGTTCCTTCTTGTATCTTTGTTAGCTACCTTATCCAAACCTCTTGCGGAATCTTGATTCTAAATTTCACTGTGATTCTCTATTCGTAAGGAAACTTTTATAAATTGATAAATATTCATTTTTACAATTTATTTGTTATATTTATTTCAATATAATATATCATTAATTTATTATTACTAATGTAATTAATTAAATCATGAAACAGTAATAAAATTTGATAGCCTTGAGTTATCAACTGAGTTATATAGACCTCCAGTTTCCTTGTGCCTTCTCTGCTTAATTATAAGCGACCATTATTTCTATAGGGAAAACATCTCGAGGAACTTTTCCCTTTATTGATTCTAGTTTTATTTATTTATTTTAATGCTAGCTCTAGAGCGACTACTTCAATACGCCGGTTGACCACAATATAAAAGATATCTACAGACAGGGAAAAACCACTGCATTTCGGTATTTTGGAAAATCGAAAAATAGTCTAGTATTTTTATCTCGTTGTATTTATATAATAAAGGCATAAAACCAAAACCAGTTGGTCGTTAACGCCGTTAATTAAAATTACATATTACTATACTAGTAGGCCCATGCGAAAAATTCGCACAGCATATTGTTATCAAATGCCAGATAAATAAGAAAATGAAATAATGCAACCTATCAAAAGATAAAGAAATCAAACGTTACTTTACCGATAAATATAATTGACAAAGGAAACAAAAATTAATATAAAACTTCATTAATGTTTGGAACCAACTTGTTTACAAATTTCAATAAGCTGTATCTTTGCTAAAAATTGTCCAATTTCGATGATTTTTTTTTTCTTCTTTTGTAGAAAATTTAGTAATTTTTTGTATAATCATGGGCATAAATAAAAGGGAAAAGTTTTCCATACAGTCTATCAATCTTCGTGTATTCAGGAGTCGCCCCATTTCGGTATTTATTTCTTATTAGAAATTTAGAGAATTTACCCATATTTTTTTAGAAAAAAATATAGAAAGTTATTAAATAAATATAAAATAATAAAATTTTAAAAAATTGGCTCTTGAATATATTTTTATATTTTAGTTTGCAAATCCCTCCAAGACTTGTTACATCTTCGAATCTGTCAACAAATTGTTTAATGTGTTCTATGCTTTAAGTTAGTGTTTTATTTATTTATTTATTTTTTTTCTTGGCTCTTTGGATATAGTAATAAATGATAGATTCATTTAGTTTGGGGCTGTTTATAATTTTATTATTATTTTAGTTTCAATTTATATCTAAATATAAATTTTATAAGTTTCAATTTTAAGTTCAAAACGTTCATTTACTTTAAAAAGGTAATTAAATCGCTCAACGTGGAAGTACGATGTGCCTCTGTGTAACGTTGAAAGATTCAATACTGTATTGAGTCCTCTACACCTATTCTGACATTTCTGTCAAACGCTTAATTAATGAATTGCCTTATTAGTAGACACGCTTTGAAGGTTTTGCCTACTCAAAGCGCCTGCCTGTGAAATCGACGAGAATAAAGATTTAATTTAAATTATTTACGAATCAATCTAATTTACTCTCCACAAAAAAGTGCAAAACGCGCCTAAAGAAGTTTTCACTTAAAAAAGTATGACACACTTATGTTAGGACCCCAAAACATCAGGAAATAAACGAATTCAAAACAATTATTTTTGTGGCCAAACGTACAACATTACTGGATAAATATAAAACAATCATCTTCGGGCCCTCAGACAATGGCTCCCTGTCATTCTATATAAAAGTACAAAACATTTATATTAGTGACCCATCGAAGGAGCCCCAAAAAGTTTTAGAATACAAAACAATTATTTTAGGGTTACCAGAAAAATATAAAGCAATGATTTTGGACATCCTCCGCCCTCCCTCCTGGCAATCGCCGAGGAGCAAACCTGCCCTGACTTCGCGTTCTAATAAAATTGTACTTACTGCCTTTCGCTGTGTGGTGTTGGAAGTATTACTCCACTGTGATGCGTGGGCTAATATCTCATGCTCACATGATAAATGGAATTCCGAGTATCGACAACGTGTTCATGGTATAACTCCCTTTATTTAGATCGCGATTTACGACTTCCTCAAACTCCCTACTGGTTCTTTTTTGGCTTAATCAGATGGTTCGCTCTCCGTTTACTTTCGGACAAACTCGGCCATTCTCGGAATTTCACTCATGGTATGATCGTTAGATCTGCCACCCAACAAATCTTTTTGCAGATTTAATATTTTATAAAGAGAGGCAGTCCCTCCAATATCTCATTTTTATTGACCGTATTAATTAACTATATAAGTAATAATTATCTAATATCACAGGAACTGGCGGGTACATATTAAGGGGGAGATCTTTCGGGCTAAAACTCCCAGAAAGTTATATTTTTTTCAATGTTATATATTTGTTTCTTTTGAAGGGCCATGGATCATAGGGGGGGGACGATGAGACAAAAAAAAAAAAGAAGTTAGTTTTAGAATTATTATCTTTGAATATAAATAACAATTTACATAAAACTAACATTTAGATATCAATAAAATAGTTACTACTACTATCCTAGCCAGCTAATCAACTTTACTCAATCGATTTTAGTTTATATACATTTTATTCATTCATGTTGCTCATTTATTATTGGTTTTATTGTGGGGGCTGATCACATAAAAATGTTTTAAATGTAAAATAAAAGGTTGTGAGATTAAAAAGGGTTTCGGTAAATACATAATCTTATACAGAATAAATATAATATTCTGGGTGAGGGAGGTGGCCGAACGGGCTAACGTATGTGTGCACAGCGCGTTGCCTGGCAACCTGATAACCAAAGTTTGGAGACAATAAAATTACGAGTTCGCGTCCCGGTGCCTGGAAGTCTTTTAAATTCCCTGCCCTCACTCCCTGGTCCGCGAAAACCCCTGTATAGCCAAAAAAAGGCGAGGTAGGAAAGAACAAGAAAAAAAAAAGATTAAATATAATAATTATTAAAAATAGAAAATCATCTTTATTCTGGGACTAGGTCCCTTTAGAATAACAATATTGTTCATGTAAATTAACAATAAATCTGGCCAAAAGGCCTATTACAATAAAGAATAACTAAAATACTAGTAATCAATTATTAAGTATAATAGCTCTTAGGATAAATTAACGAGAACAGTTGGGTAATAGGTTTTCAATACTACAATATTGGAACTAAAACAATAGCATAATAATCACTGAATGAAATTAGAAAGGAACGCAAATAGTCCGGGTTGGCGGCTATAAAAAGGCTAAATAGTGGCAAAACACGGCCTGCATCTAAGTTTCACTTAGAACTCAATTCAGTTCTAAATGAAACTCCTAGCTGAACACATCTCCCTGAAGAAGACCTGCAAAGTTCGGTCGAAACGTTGGCTTGACATAAAATAGTTTTGCTACTATTCAGCGTTTTTATGACCGCCACCCCAGACCATCTCCATCCTTTATAATGCAATGGTCAACTATTAAATATACAGTAAAAAAAAAAATTACATTTGTTTCCAAATATGTTTAAGTGAAGACAAGTAAAGATTAGGAGAAAAAAAAATAAGGTGTATGCATTCAAAAAAGATATACACACTTTATGTTATATTTATATGCCTAAATATGTGTATATATATATATATATATATATATATATATATATATATATATATATATATATATATATATATATATATAAACTCATTTGTAACACGATTGGCCTCAATATCTGGATTAAATATGAGTAAGATAAAACAACTTAAATAAATATAGGTGCCTCATAAAAGTGCATGGGAAAGAGATTAAAAGTTGTAAAGATGAATGTTGATAAACTACAATATTGATAAAAGAAGATTAAGGAAGGTTTTAAAAGATAGCAGGTCTCCATTCGCCAACATACTGTCAAGGATTACGTACATATCTATTACAGTGACGAATTAAATTATTTTAATTTAATTATGACATTACAAGTTTAGAATGACATAGTTTTAGTACGAAAATTATTTTTAATACTTTTAACGTAAACCCGAGTTTTGTACATCGCTACGATTATCTTCTTTTACTCAACAAGCTTCGCAGGTAAGCTCAAATAATACGTTATATAATTTATGTTTTATTTCAACTGAATTACTTCAATTACTATTAATTATTTTAAGATCACACAAAGAATACTTAATAATTGCTTTCTCTTTAAATATATTGGATTTAGTATTCTACTACACTTTTTTTCCTGACTGATATATTAACTTTATTATTTCTTAAAGGTATTTGTTAGTTCTTTCATTTTTTTTTTTTTAATTTAGAGACTCCCATGATCGACTCCTTGTTACCTTTATTATATTTCCAATCTGCGTTTTAAAATAGGTCCTAGCAAAGCAATTTGTACAAATAATTTAATCTGGTATGTTAAATGGAATATTATAATCGACCAATGAAAAAATATTAATTTCTTCTTTACCTAATACATAGGAGCTACTTATTTCCATATTGTTTTCCTATTTCTTCACTAAACAAAATTTTCTACTAATTATTCGCATGGGCCAAATAGTTATTTTAAATATGTATTTTAGCATTTGAAGGCAAACGAGTTATATAAACTTATTTTTTAGCAGAATTTATCTCTCTTTTTACCTATTTTATTAATTTAAATATTTTTTTTTTTGAATTTAAAACACTTTATTCAGAAATATTACAATAATTTAAATATTTACGCATTAGAATGGTAGGAATATAACCTAACACTTAAGTCGTGTAAGTCAAGGCAGGTATGTCGAATGTAAACTGATAATATTCGTTTTTGTTTTTGCAATCATCGGAAATAGAGGATTTTTTTTTTATTTAAGGCAATACCAATTCAAATTATAAATAAGATGTAATCGTTGCAGTTTTTTTTCTTGCTTAAAAAATAATTAATTTTGATTATTCAGTCTAAATGTATTTCAATGACAGACATCCATGTATACCAAACTCTGATATGAGGACGCTACAGATAAAAGGGTATTATACTACGGAAGATTTAACCACGTGATCATCGGCAGAAGGTTTGAAAATTTAAAACAATAGTGATGACAATCCTAATGCCAAAAACCCTCGAGCGGATCTACGGGGGAGGGAGACTTTGGGGCTGAAGCCCCCCTCCAAAATGATAAAATATAAGCATGTTTTATGGAAAAAATATTAAAAAATTATCTCTTAAAGTATTATTGTTCGTGTAATTACATTTAAAAGGACTTTAGGAATCATTTAAACACCATTTCATACATGTAGTTAGTTTCTTTCTTTTTTTCCAAAGTAATTATCGTTATTTTTATGAAAAAAAAAAAAAACTTTCGGTCTGAAGACCCACAAAATTAAATCCTGGATTAGCTAGTGAGTCAGAACGCTAACTGGAAACGTTTGGTTATGGTAGAATTTAAAAAATCTTAATTTAAAAAAACAGATTGGGATAGTTTCAGACCAACTTGGTAGAAGTACTTGCGGATCCAGGATTTAATTTTTTGGGGAAGGGAGCTTCAGCCCAAAAGATTTTTTTTTCAAATATTTAACAATGATTAATTTGAAAAAAAGAAAGAAAGGAATTAACTACCTATAGGAAATGGTGTTTAAATGATTCTTGAAGTCCTATTAAATGTAATGACACGAAAGATAACATTTTAAGAGATAGTTTTTAATATTTTTTCCTATAAAACATGGTTATATTTTACCGTTTTGGGAAGGGGGGGGGGGCTTCAGCCCGAAAGCCCTCATCCTTCACTCCGTAGATTCGCTTATGGTAGGTAGTAGATTTAATAAAGTCAGACAAAATTTTGGAAACTTTTCACGAATCTGAGAAGCTAATAGTTTCAGACAAATTTGCAGATTTAATAAAATCTGAACGATATTTGGAAGCTTTTCGAACATTTTTTTTTCAAAATTAGTAAGTGTTTTTGTGTATTAACTTTTGTGCGCCATTTATCAAGTCAGCCTTGTAGAAAAATTACAAGTATATAAATGAACTAGTTTAGTGTATGAAGAATATTGTAAGATAAAACACTCCTTGTTCTTTGCCTTTAAAAATATATTTATTCTATTTTTTTTCTTTGTCAATAGGCAATTTGCAGCTTGATGACGTTTTCTAGTTAGTGAACAATGCCCACACTGTTAACTGTATTAAAAGGTATTATTAGAAGTGTTCCGTAACAAATACAATTGTGTTTTGTTTTTCTTATTTCTCACATCAGTAATAGATTTTTAAAATTTAGTAGTGAAAAAAAATAGATTTTTATACAGTATCAAATTCAATCGTAGTAGGATGGGAGGAGGAGAGAGTTAAAATAGATAATTTAAATATACTAATAATTTACAACTGAAATATCTTAGATGTTTAGTTTTTAATTACGTGGAAATTAATAAAATCTGAAGTGATTTTTACGGGAATTAGCCAATCTTGCTCTATCTTTGTATGTTATTTATCCAACTCGGTTTTTATGTTGATACGCCATATCTTCGTTAATTCTTCATCGAATCTCATGATTATCCCATAATTTTGCGGATTATCTTATCCTTCAGATGGCAAAAATAGACAGATCTCAGAAATTTCAGAAAAAAGTTTATGAAGTAAAGAAAACTATACAATTTGTAGTTGATTATACCCATAGTCATACTTTGAAGGAGTGGGAGAGGGGGGAGGAGGCAATAGCTTCCTATTAAAAATATTGAGGGGATGAGAATATCATTTCGTTCCCCCCCCCCATGATTTGAAAAAAAAAATTAAAATCAACAAATAACCTTCATGAATGAATAAAATATACATAGTGAAGGCTGTATTCAAGATTAATAAAATTCGTACGGTCCAACTAGTCCTGTTCTTATTTTTATTTGTTAATTTTTAAATAAAATTAGTGTTGTTTATATATATATATATATATGTATATATATATATATATATATATATATATATATATATATATATATATAAAACTGAGTATGGATCAGATTATATTTTCAGTGTTAACCAAGAAAAAATTAAATTTCTTATAAGAGAAGTTGGTTTGAGGTGCAGTCATTTGAAGTACACAAAAATAAATTATAATTTTGGATTGATGGTTGAATGTAGTGAATGATTAAAGAGAAGATTGGTTAGAGCGTTCAGTAAAAAAAAAATTATAAATAAGTATATTTATTTTTATTTTTGCCGACGTTTCGCCCTAAAGTTCAGGCCTTCATCAGGGCTGATCAAACGAAAGGTTTCCGCAAGACTAGCAAAAAAAAATATCTTGTGGAAACCTTTCGTTTGACCAGCCCTGATGAGAGCATGAAGTTTAGGGCGAAACGTCAGCAAAAATAAATTATATTTATTTTCTTTGTGCCGACGTTTCGGCCCAAGTTTCAGGACTTCATCAGAGCTTACCAAAGATCTAATAACATATAAATACTGAGAAAAGAATAGACAGTAATAATAAGTAGAAGATAAAAAACATTATAGCAAAATAATATGTAGGCAGTTAAACTCAACATTAATAGTATAGCACAAGATAATCGAGGTTTCGAAAGATGTGTTTCATGTTGAGGAGAGAACTCCACATTTATTTTTTATTTAACTGGAACAGTTTGTATATTACCATTTGTTAGGCAGAGGAGTTAACTATTTGACAAATAGGGATTGGTTGTCCTTGGAAACAAGGACGTTCGGCGCCTCGCGGTCCAGTTCAGTATAGATCGTTCTCATATCTAGTCACCACAGGGCGACGTATCATGGTGGCCGTATTGTTTAAATATCAGCTGTTTATAAAAATTAATAATGAAAAAAAAAATTAAGGTAAAGAACCTAACGATTGCATCATTCCATTAGCTAAAAAGAGATCTTATCTTGACATGCGCATAAATTAATCAACCAAGACAGGTTACTTAACGGATACAATAACTTTTAATATTTACTGAAGATATTATTATCATATTGCGTTAGTAAATGTAATCAAGATAATAAAGACATGCAAGACAAAGTACATCTATATTTAAATAAAAATAAATATAAAATTAAAAAAAATGGCAGAATACAAAAGTTAACTTTAGATGAAATATCTCTAGGTTTTAAATTATATCAGTGACAGAAACCATTCTTTGCCTGACTCATGTCTGACCGCCACAGTTTGTGGCGAACGATGGTCCCGTCGAGGTCTCGCTTCTTATGATTAACGATTCTAGCTCTGTCATCTCAGGTACTGGTACTTCTATCTATATCTTACAACAATAATCTAATACACATTATTATTTGTAACGAGAACAAATTATTTAACGGTTATTAATTAATAATTAATGTAACGGTCTTGAAATTATTGTATTCTTTTACCATTCTAAAAGTAAAAGAATAATAATGACTTATGTTTTAAAAATAAAACACAAATTAAAAAAAAAATGTTATTATATTCGGGGATGATTAATGGATTAAAAGAATATTTTTAATTTTATATATTCCGCGAGTGGTGTAATAACTATCAGGCAAGATTATTTATTTAAATTATTTCTATTTGAAAATATAAATTAAATTACTATCAATATAATACCATCTATGCTTGTAGTATTTTTTTTATAATTGTTTTTGAAGTATATGCATGTCAAGGAAACAAGTTTCATTTACGCGTGTTTAAGGAAAAATAGTGAATGGAATTAAAACTGATGATAAAATTTATACTGCTTCTTTTTATTCAGGTTGGAGGGCAGGGAGGAGGCGTAATAATTCCATTATTATTAGAAAAAAATTAAGTGATAAATTAACGTAATCAACATAATTATTTACGAATAGTATAATACTATATATAAATAAATAAAAATAAATTTATATACCTAATAAATATTAAGATTTGTTTTTTTTGGTTATTAGTCCGTGGTACATTTTTATCAAATTATTAACATCTGCCTGAAATTTCGTAAATAGCTTAATACTATCATATCTTACAATTATTTTATTTTCGAAAATTCTGATAATTGGGGCGTTTTAAATTTGGAGATTGAAAAAAAAATTGTCTATTTAATTAGGTACTAAAAACTCATAAGTAATCATTTGCTTTCCGCTTGAATCGTAAGATAATTTAAACCCGAAATCGAGAAAAACGTTTGGCGTGACCTACACCTCCAAAATGTCTAAATAACGAGGTTATATAGGCCAAACGGTCCAATATTTTTGTATGTGTATGTAAAAAGTAAATGGATACCTTATGATACGATGTGATTTAAATGTTGGTAATTCTCCGCTTATCGTATACTGTAAAAGTCAATAGTGTTCATTTGTTCGCTTAACTATTAAGTAAATAAATACGATACAAAAAAGTTCCTTAGGACTTTTATTTTAAGATTTTTTTTTTCAAAAACGTTTCATAGAAACTGATAAAATGGAACTGTTTTAAAAATGTATTTAGGGAAAAAAGTACCATTTTAATAGTTTCTATGAAACTTTTATTATTGCAAGTTCCGTTAAAAAAAATTCCGTTAAATAAAAAATAAACAGTAATTGGCATTAGATAAGAATTATAATTTGTCTTAAATGAATTGCACATGATTTTTAATGTCGTTTGTTTGAGTAACAGTCCGTGGTACAACCCCTTTTTAGTAAATTATTAACATCCGTCTGAAACGTCGTAAATAGCTTCGTCTCATCGTAATCTACAAATATTTTCTTTATGAAAATTCTCGGAATTGGTGCGTTTTCAACATTGTTTATTTAATTAGGTATTAAAAACTCATAAATACTCATTTGCTTTCCATTTGGTTCGTAAGATAATTTGATCACAAAATAGGTAAAAAAAAAAAAGGTGGCCTACAAAAATATTAGGCCGTTTGGCCTATATAACCTCGTTATTTTGACAATTTGGAGGTGTAGGTCAAGCCAAACGGCTCAATATTTTTGAAGGCCACCTTTTCTACTAGCTTTGTATGGAAGTTATCATACGATTGAAGTGGAAAGCAAATGGATATTTATGAGTATTTACTACCAAATTACATAGACAATGTTTGCCGACCTCCATATTGAAAAATCCCCAATTTCAAGAGTTTTCGTAAATAAAATAGTTGTAGGTTACGACGAGATGAAGCTATCCACGAAGTTTCAGGCAGATGTTAATAATTTGATAAAAAGGGGTTTGCACCACGGACTATGTATTTGAAAATATTTTAACAAAGCAATTGAATATATTAAATGTCTTTACTTCTATTTAAAGGTTTGAGGTAGTGAGATGAACTCTAAATTCTCCGACGTTTCAAATCTATCGCCGGTGATGTAATTCACGTGTTGAAGAATGAATCATAAAATCCTATAGATGTATTGATATATATGTATATATATATATAACTATCTTTGAATCTTAAGATATGTTGCTACATATAATTATCTTTGAATATAAACTAAAATTTTAATAATAGAAATAGGGTGTGGTAAAATACTTAAACATCTACTTGTAGGCCTTAGGAACTCATTTTCATACCATTTTATTTAATATTTAGATTCTTTTATTTTGCAACATCGAGTTCATTGAGTGGTTTCAAATGATAAGTATCCCGATTTCCATAATCAATTAGATTCACTTCTAAAATATGCTACTCAAATGATAAAATCATGTTTCATTCTAAATATAGTAGAATTATTTCCTAATTGTCCATTAATAAATGCAGGCATCGAATTACTGAGACACGTTTTATTTTGGTTGAAAATTTAATACGGATACTATTTCACGGAGAAAAAAAAAGTTTTGATAAAAAATATATTTAAATATAATGTGTATTTAATACTTTCTTTCAAATAGGATTTATATGATATATTTATTAAAAAAATTAATATTTTCCGCGAGTGGTATAACAACTCTCTGATAAGATTATTTATTTAAATTTGTTTTAAGTGGAAAAAAATATTTAAATTAAAACATTGTTTATTGTACATAGGTGTGAATGAGTTTTATTTGTTTTGTTATTACTCGGCTGGTCTGTTTTTTTAATTATCTTGTATATTACTTTATCTTTATATATATATATATATATATATATATATATATATATATATATATATATATATACTTTCTTTTTTATATTTATGTATATTTATATATTTTCCTTTCTTATGTACATATTGTGTGAATGAATACTATAGCACTAGTACCGATGCCCTTCATTGTGGCAGACTGTCAGTTT